ATATTGAAATATCCGAGTGTCAATCTAATTTCACGTCTGCTTTTGAATGACGTGCGATTCAAATGAACCAAAGGAAGAAATAAATATATGCATGCAGAGAATTTCAAAATTTAATGGCATTGTCAAACTGATAATAATAATTTTATTACGAATAAGTTTCAGAAGAAAAATATTTTACAAACATTTTTATCAACCTCGTTTTGGATTAATATTTGTTATAAATATTTTTAAATACTTCGAATCAAACCGGCAATTTTTTAACAACCTTGTTATATTTTATTCCAAAATAATTAATTGTAAATAAAAATGTTAATATTTAATAATGTTTTTTTTTCTTTTTATTATAAATTCCTCTAATAAGAATATGACAAAATGTGACCAATTAATTTTGATGTTTTATTTCAACCTCCTACGTTCTCATCAGTGCAAAATGACATGGTTTGTATGCAAATTGAAGTTGCCTCACCGCGTGTGTTCCACACCATCTCGCGCTTCGGCGAGACTCAAGGCGTAATTGGCACTCAAAACTTCACATCAGATTTAAGGTGTTGATATCGCACCGCGCATTAAAATGCATGCATGCACGCAACGAATCGCACCACGTCTTGTATGTACAAGTTGCATTAATCCTGTATGAAAATCCAGTGCGATGCTGTGCTATTCAATTTCACGCAACTCCGTTCAGACATCGACCCGGATAATGCATTTATGATCTGCGCGCATAAATCAACGATAAAATCACGATTTAAATATAGATTTTCTTGGATTTTGTGTGGCAAAATTTGAAAAAACATATGGAATTCATAATAAAAATATTATATAATAGATTATACTACATTTATAACTCAATTAATCAGATTTACAGTATTGTTAAAAAAAAATTAATATTTGTTTTTTTTATGCATTTAATACTAATTTTAACAATTATTATATAATTAATATAATTATTTATTACCAAGTTTTTTTATTTACATCGTATATATTTTTCCCTTTTCACAAATTTCTTGATTTCTTTACTTCACAATATTTAATAAAACTGATGTGTATAGCTTGAGGAATGCAATTTGGTAATTTTGAAATAATGTCTTCTCTAACACAATTGGTAGGTAACATGTTCATAATCAAATTTAACAGCGGATCATATGAATAAAAATTTAAAATTTACGATAAATAACTAAAAAAAATTTACAAATAGAGCTGCAGTAAACATAAACAAATTTAAAATAATTAATATTGTTTAATTTAAATTAAGGTTAAGGATTTTTACTTACAAATTCTAATAAATTCAATATCCAATTTAACAATTAAAATCACATCGTCAAATTCATCTCTTTTTTGTGCTGGCATTCAATTGAAGTCAATTCGAATGGATTTTATAAAACACAGGTACGCACTCGGCACGTATTCGAGCAGGGTGCATGCGGTCACTTTATTTGTTTATCGGCGTTGACAGCCGAGTTTGCGGTGCGCATAATATTTGTTCCTGCACCGCCAGCGTGTGCGGTCTCGTTAAAAAAATATGCCAGGCCAGAAATTCAATTCCACGAGAGGTAACGCAATATTATTGCTGGCGTTTATTTCATTTTATTTGTACACACATACACACGCTCATTACTCGGCGGACACTTTATTGTTATTGACACAAGTGATAATGCTGTCGCTCGCTGTAATTGATTGGATTTAATTACCACTATCGATTGAACGCATATAAGTGCTGACGTGGGGCGACGTTGCCACTCACGACTTTTAGCTAAGGTGTGATCGATCAATAAAAAGCCAAACTTTATTAAAAAATTGTAAAGCTAAATCAGAGAGCAGAAATTTTATATTTCCATTATTATTTGTTAAATAAAACCCTAAGATTTTTAAGTACCAAGCAGATTGAAGGTTGCCTTTTATTTATTTTCTTTCTTCCTTTTATGCAACAAGGATCCCGGTTTCAATTATTCAAAAATTATTTTATTGGAAAGTAAAATTGATTTATAAAAGATTCTTAAGGTTGTCTTAAATTCATGCAGAATTCTTTACTCAATACATTCTGAAATTCAGGAAAATTTAAATCATTTTTATTACAACATAAATATTTAAGTTTACCATACAAGTACATTGACGTTTAATGTGAACACTCAACTAGTGGGCAAGCCCCACATCTAATTAACGAAGTGTGGTGCAAACGCTTATTAAATGCACTTTGCGGGTGTTGATCTGGCCAAGCCACGGCTATGCTCAGTGGAGCTGAACAAGAGTCAGGTAGCGCTGACACAACGTGTTTGACCCAAAATTTGACCTCTCTCGCTGGGAATGGAAAAATAAATTCCTGACTTGTTAAAGGGTAGGTAGGCTTGCACCTGAGTAGTGTCTCGGCTGCTTTATGGCCGTGCAACTATTATTTTTCACGCCGACTACAAGACGCTCTCTGTGTGAGTGACTGCGAAGAGACGTACGCGACCAAGAAACACCTCCACAATAAACAAGCTGGCGTAACATGAGGTAAACAGCCTGCGAGGCTCTTTTGCTTTGCTCAACTCTCTGCTCGCAACGCACACATGAATGAGTGCCCGCCAATGAATTTATTGTCCAACGGGGGTATTTAAAAGCAAACTTGACTGCTGTTGGTGCTCGGCCGAACATGCGATAATTAAGCCTGAAGAGCTTTGCTGAAAGTGGCGAAGAAAGTTATTTGCCGAGACTCCGAGTGAGATGAACTTCTGCTGATTTCAAAGCAAAGGCTTGATTATCGCAACTGTTTCATAGGAAAAATTAATATTTAATTAATGTTCTTATCCGCATATTCAAGCAAAAAATTATTTATTTTTCAGTATTTGAGTTCTTATTTAAAATTTTTTAAATTATATTCTTTTGCATGCGTCATTACCAAATTTAAGCTCCCTAGACTACTCATGATCTATTTTAATTTCTTAATTCACCGATAATCTTTTTTTATACAATATTAATTTGCAAGCGAAATTGTCAAAAAGCCTCTGGAGATAGATTTGTTATGGTTTTTGAATAAGTATTCCGAACATCACATTTGCTGGGTGATCGAAAATTAGGCGCTTCCATCTGCTCAATCGACAATTGAAAAAATCGGCGTTGGCCCGCTTAATTTTGAACCAGTCTCGGAAACCTCGGCAGGTAGAAGCGCGAGAGGGGCCACATGTGCCAGCGGGCCAATGCGACACGGCGAACCAAATAAATGAGCCCGGCGCGCGTTTAATAAAATTAGAATCGTGGTTTTACCCTACCTTGGAGGCATGGCGATAGTCCCTGGTCCATTTGGAGTCATCAGCAGGTCGGCGAAGTCTTCCGTCGGCTCAAATTCGGCGATCAGATACGGGCGAGACACGACTTTTGTTTCGTTGAACACACCTTCCCTCCATCCTACTGGCGGTGGCTGCTGCAGCTGGAAGAATTTAAAGACAGATAATTTTATTAAATTCATTTTTCTATGGAAGTTTTTAGTTTCAAAAATTTTCCTTCAGTATGAAATATTTATTTGAAAAAAAAAATCAAAACGTAAAAAATTTGAATTCATTCAGAGGCCCATATAACAAACTTGAAAATTATCTGAAAATTTAAAATCTCGTAGAAAGAATGAAAAAAAATTACAAGGAGGTTGAGCCACATTTCAATTTCTCATAAAGTCTACCTTGCGTATTAGCTTTCAATTGAAAAAAATTATTCTTTATAATTTACATATAAATTATTGATCAAAATTAACTAACATCACCATAAACTATGTTCGGCGAAATTAATCATGATTTTAACAACGTTGACCTTTCTGCCGATGGAAATAATTGGCCGTAAGTCAGTGAAATTTAATTTGCACGCCTGCCCCAAGACACTGATTATTCCCACCGGCTGAAAACAAAGTGTTGACGGTCGAAATAAATTAAATAAATAATACCACCACTGAGAAGCTTCGCGTGTAATCGCAAGTAACACAGTACTCTGTGCGCTTCCCAATGAGAGGGAGTTCGCTGCGTGGAGAGAAGATGCCTTTGTGATTCATGGCCACTAGTCACGCCAATTCTCTTCTCATTAGCACATGTGGCTTATATTATATTTCACTGGACACTCAAATTTCATTAAAAACCGACCAACATACAGAGGATTAAAGATTTGTGTTTCAAAATAATGCGGCTAATTTTAAATTTTATTGCCGTTCTAATTTTTCTTATGATGTGTGGGTTGATATTGTCCACGGACTTAATTACACGTGCATGAATTGTGATATGCCAAAAAGAGCGTCAGCGCTAAATGGCGAATCATTAATCAAGCAATAAATTAGCAGTAAATTAGATCAAGCCGTAGCCGCCTCCTCCTCCGTACTCCGACCCGTTTTGTTTTATTGCGTGCCAAAGGTTAAAGCAAAAATTTCATCCAGCGCGCTGCAAATATAATTGATGGGGGTTCAATTCGGCCGACTCTCTCGAGATTGAGTGATGATGATTGGGTGTGCCTTAATGATCAACGCATCTATAAAATTCGCTCTCATCTGCAGACTAATGGCACTCGCCCGTGCTTCTAAAATATGACCGGTATTCTGTTTTATGCAATTGCAGTATTTTCCAGTTTTTTTTTCATTTAATAAACTTTACTGGCTTTAGTCCCGAATTGATTTTTTGCATTCTATCCCACTTTGAGTTATAATGTTAAAATGGTTAAAATTATCACTTATCAATGATTTGTAAATATGATTAATTCATTATGATGAGTCCATGAACACATAACACATAGACATTTATTTGGTATAGATCAACAATCAAGTGTACCAATTGTAAAAATATATAGCATTAATAACTAATTGCTTCAAAAACCAGAACCATCAGTATATTTAAATTCCTAGTTAAAATTTCGTAAATAATTTTTAATTGTTATACAAAAATAAATAAGAAATAAATATTCAAATAGTATATTATTAAAAAAATTAGTTTTAAATTATATATGTATAAATAACAATTAGATTAATTTAATATAAATAAACTTTTTTAAGGATCAAGTATATTTAAAAAAAAAATGCTGTTAAATTTGACGCAACTTGATTCTCATCCAGCGTCGAGCAGCAAAATTAGGAGCAGGGAAATAAATTCGCTAAGTGAGTGTGATCGCAATTGGATTTTTCGGCCGCCTCCACCTCTCCCTCCGCCTCCTCCTACATTAGCCGAGAGAGGCGTCCATTTGGCTGCTGCCTCTCTCTGCGAGTCGAATTATTATCTTGGCCCATCTGACCTATTAGGTTACAAGTATATTACGTCGTGATCAGGTAAATTATCCTCACTCTCTTACTCGCTGTACATTTGCTCCGGCAGCTCGCTTTTATTGCCCGATAATTTGATGCATCACCCCGCCTGACTGACTCTCGCGCGTCGATTGTGTTCTTGCCTGTATATCGACGAACAGCAGCGGGTCCATTTGATGCACACACCAGCATGCAAAAAAATAAAAAAAAAAAACATGTAATATAAAAAGATGAAGCGGCGCCAGACAATGCAGAGCCGTGTCCATCATGCACATGTGCGCAGATTAACAAGTACCGGTCATGGACCGAATGTTTGATTGTGATAGTGGAATATTTTTATTGACTTTTTGTATAAATTTGGTCAATTTAACTATTTAAAATTTTTTGGAATGCTTGGAATATGGAAAAGAAGGAGTCAGTATGTTAATGATTCAATATAATGTGTGCACAAAACAGCAAATGACCAAAATAGAAACAATAATATTTAGGAAATTATGCTACTCCTTGACAAGCGTGTCCAGCAGGTTGCATTTTTCGAACTTCGTGCAGCCACAATAAATAATTATGTTAAAGATCAAAAGATTTTTTTTTTTTTAGATAACATTAATAAATTATATAATATTTTTCATAGTGTATAAAAATATTTATATTATTTAATTAAGAAAATATAAAATTTAAAATATTTTAACATAAAATAATGATTTATAATGTATGGTCATCTGTTTATTGTATTTATTTGTAGAACCAGATCTGTGAATCATCAATGCATTTAAATATTTTAAATGCCTCATCTTTGTGAAGTTTTATTCTAATTTTTTTAGTAAATATTACATTTACAAGTTTATGCACAATCTCTGTTGTGAGGGAAGAGATTAAACGAGGTTAAATGGTTTATTTCATTAAGCTGCTTAATATTTCAAACAACCCACGCTGCATATATTCGAAGATTGCTGCCCACTCTTCACAACTTATTTCATATATTTCAAAAGATTTTATTACTCGCATGAGCCAGAGCAAGTACATACGTGGAATGAGCGATGAAATTATTCATAAAAACTTGGAGAGGAAGTCGCCACTGCCGCGGCGCGATCTTGAAAGAAAAACCTTTTAAAATTTCATAACTCAGGCGTAGCGCATTGGAGCAGAAAATGAGGCTGTCAGCCCGTTGCAATAAATACATACGCGAACAAGATAAACAGCACTATTTCATAAACTGCAACACTGAATAATTCACGACAAATGCGGCGGTGGCAAAACTCACACCTTCTTTCTCTCGAGCGCGCGGAAAAATAAGGACCCATGCAGTTTTACAATCCGAGAGCGAGCAGCACCATAAATTGCGCCGCGCATATTTTCCCCACTTGTTTTTCATAAGACAAATATCATAATTTTTAGCGTGCGTACAGCCGGAATGGAGAGATTTATACGTAATATTTGGAGTCGGCGGAGCATTGGACTTGCCGATGATGCGGAGAGAGAGAAAAAATCGTCTCAAGAATAAAGGGGGCATCATACACATTATTATTTCGTAATTCAAGAGCGCATATTTGGCCGCATTATCCATCAAGTCTCGAGCGAGCAAATGCGCCTGTGGGAACAATTACTTTTCACATGTGTGTGCTCTCTCGGTCCGAAAATGGTTTTTGTTCTTGGGCAGTCTGATTATTATTGCTATCAAATAATAGGGCAGCATTAAGCGCGTATATTTTCTCGTATTGTGGTGGGTGGAGTTTTTTCCTCGGCCGAGACTTCATTTTCTCGGGGGCATCAAAGGGTTATTAGCTGGAGAAGCGGTCAGCTACCAGCTTCTCGTCTCTCTCTGGAAATAATAATAATGCTGCTGCTGCTGCTGCGAGATTATTCTCTCGGGCAGGGAAAAAACGAAGCTTCTTTCTCTCTCCGACGCCGTGCTTTTGATAATCTTTTAATACTAGTGGTCCGAGAGATGAAAAACAACAACAGATTAAAAAATGATTTTCCGAAGGTCGCTACACGGCTCTCCACCAACGTACGCCCGCCGCTGTCGGATGAGATGTGATGTGCCATCTAATAGCCTCCAAATTGGGGAATCTAGTTCGAATTACAAGCGCAATCCTCCACTCCGCTGCCTCCCACCTTATATAGCAATCCAATTTCAGCTCCAAATGATGACTGCCCAAGTCACGGAATATAACTCAAAATGGATGATCAAAGATTAAAAACTTTCCAAACTTTTAAGATTAACAAGATACAAATTTTGGCTCTATTTTTAGATGTATTATTATCAGCATGAATAATTCTTAATCTGAAAAATTTATTTTGCAGAATATCCGCATCCGCATCCTATAATTTAAATGATTACATGAAATGGTTGAAAAATATCAAATATCGATTTTTATTTTTGCATTGAGCTTTGTATGAAGCTATGAGTTCATATAGATAATTGTTTGCGTTAAATATTGCATTCCAATCATATGATTTAAACACCTTGGCCATCATACTTTTAAGAATTCCTATCGATTGACATTATATTATTCATATTTTTTTATAATACAATGCCTAATGTCATTTTATTCTACTTTTCAAATAAATACCGCGACTTGTAATAAATAAAAGCGCCTGATTCTACTAACTATGTATTTTAAGCATTAATTAAAATAATTCACAATTTATTACAGCCGACTTGATCCACAATCTAAACCACATTTTTCACTCTCAATCAGCTGCAGTGTAATAAAACGTCAATTTGAATAAACTCTTCACTTGCAAATCTCCGGCGGTTTGATTGGAATGAGACCGGCGCGTCCTCCGGATCCAAGTGAATTGCAATTCAAATGCAATTCTACTCATTATTGCCACGCAGTTGACGTTTATGCGTGACAGAAATTTCTTAAGTGCAGAGACTTATTATGATTTTTCTGAGAGAAAAGGCGTTTAACCGCGCTTTGAGAGTCGCCACCCAGAACGGCGCATTCACTTCCAATCAAGAGCAAAACGAATGAAAAAGCGTTTAAATAGTTTTTTACATCAACTTCATTACAACCCGTCCGCTGGTAAACGCACACACACACTTATTCGCATTGTGGACGTGTTTATACACACAGGCCGCCACCGCCGCCTCCTATTTTTATTTATATATGAGCCCGAGCAGCGCGGGAATTTTATTTTTCCGCGTGAATTAATCCGCTGCATATTAACCTAGTATTTCAAAATGCGTCTCATAAAATCGGAGAGCAGCGCCGAGTGTGAATGCACTCGCTCGCCTATCGGGTTTCACGCGTCAAGATAATTTCGTCCTCGCGGTGTGCGCGCTTAACGCTTTACCAACACCCACTCTCGCGGCCGACTGCGCTCAAAATTTCCTGCAACAGTCATATCATATTTTATTTCAAGTACAGTAAATATTAATTATTAGAAAAAAAATCTGTCAACACAGTAAAAATATAAGATTCAGCAATATAATTTACATTTTGTTAATTTTTTAATATTGTTTGCCAAATAAAGATATATTTTTTATGCTTAATTACTTTGTTTAAATAATATTACAATAATTTTTTATTTGAAACAAAATGTAACCAAAAATTTATAACCCACCCGTTAAAAAGCTAAATGAGCAATACAAGTAACAGATTGAATTTGACTCTTGCTCTTCAAATGGTTATGGATGATACTTTCTGATCAAAATTAAAATGAAAAAGAAAAGAATTAAAGAAAGATAAGAGTAATTAATAATCACGCATGCTCTAGGTGTGAATCGGGAAATAAGCAAAATTTTAATGAGACACAAAGACTTGTCTTTTTATTTATCGCAACATCACAAAGACCGCCCGACTTTAAATTAAGTTAATATAAAATTGACCATTGAAATACCACTTTTAATTTTTTACCATATAAATCAATAATATAAATTTTTGCATTGTTCATATTCTGCAAGATTTTTTATATGTTATAACCAAGACTTGATTATTCTAACGATATGAAGTGAACAGCTGTGAGTGCTTGTGCATCTGTCTAACGCTTGGTGGAGGCGAGGAATTTCGAGAAAAGCGATGCAAATCTGATTAAAATATCTCATTACTAGGCGCTGGCTGGAAGAGATTAAGAGGGAATCTCTGCCATGCACGCGGTGATTTTTCTCTCGATCCATCCGATTTAGCCTCACTCACTTTTGTGGTCTGGCTGCTGGAGAACTGTCAGGACGATGATTGCGCTGTGGGGTTCAGCTTCTCAAGTGTCACACCACCAGGTGGATTTCATTTAATAAAACAACACTAAAACACGTCAAACCTTTTTCCTAACCTTTCAGCGGGATAATATTTACATAAAATTTAAATTTAGAATTATAAAAAGAAGTTGCGCTCTCTCACTTTTCAGTGTGGGTGCTGAGTTGAGAGCGCGATCACTTATTTTTGCCCTCCGCGCGAGGAAAGCATAATATGAGCAATGCAAGTCAGCTGGAGACTGACACGCAATTCACGCAGAGATGTAAAGTGTCTGTTTTCAAACGAGCGTAGAATCTCATCCTAAAAATCTAACAAAACAATTTACTTCAAAATATCATTTTTTTATTATTCAAAAATTTTTATTATTTAATTTACAATTTGTATTGATATCTTTCAATTAATTTTCTAACTTTTAAATCAAAATTTTGTCATAAAATTTTACACTGATGAAGCATAAAATAATTTTAGAAATAAATTGGAATTTCAAAATCAATCTAGGATGCAGATATTTTTTCATATCTCGTATAAATAGGAAACAGAAATATTATTTGGAATGGTAGAAAGCTGGTAGGAAAATTATCACTCTTTTCAGCAGAAATAAATTATAAAGCACACTTGCTTTATTTTACCGCCATAGTGTGTGCATGAAAAGTGTCGGCTGCAGCGTGTTATTCCCGAAAAGTATCATTGACCTGGGGCGGGCGAACGCGGAGAAAAAACTCGCTCGGCGAACTTGTGGGTCCGGCGGTGCTCACAAAAGCTCCGAATAAAACAATATAATAATTTTTCTATAGCCGCCAGTGTAAAAATTGGAGGAAAAAAAGAGTGGCAGCAGCAACAACAACATGAGCGGCGGCTCCACACAGTGTGTTTTGTGTGTATTTATTTATCTTTCCAGCAGCATCATGCATGTTTTTGTTGGTGCTTCTTTCACTGAATAAAAATTTTTCAGCCGTGCCCCGCGGCCGCTCGCAAGGACTCCACAGTGGCTATCGACCCCACCCACCGTCCGTCCATAATCACATGCTCGTCTTTAATGAAGGCGCCTCTCCGGGACCTGCTCCGTATAAAATAGTAGCAATAAAATCGGCCGCAATAAATTTTATGGGGCCTGGCCAGAGCTCGCTGCATTCGGAAAATTGCCCTCGAACTCATACACTCATTCCCGAACAAGTCGAGTGGAAACAACTAGCGGGTAAAAACATATACGAGATCACTCGCGATGCAATCCGCGCGCTTTTTAATTTGGAAAGTATGTATGCAGGCGGGCATCGGTCACTTCAAAAGAACCAAACGCCGCTGCAATCATCTTGCAAGTAGTACATCTCGGCTGATTTGCTCGTTTGATTTCTAACTTCAATCTCTGGTCTTTTGTATAATGCGATATGCAGCAGCATGTTGATATTGGAGATATTGAATATTTAATGATTTTATGTTTGCAACTGGAATTTAATATTGACTTTATATCGTGAAAAAAGTACAGTAAACATCAAAAGAAAAATGGTAGAGATTGATTATAATTTAAAATTTGTCTTTTTTTATGTGTATATTTGACAAGGAAATTAAATTTAAGAAAAAAACATCCTCATAGCAAAAATATTACATATGCATTACTAAAAATAAATCAATAAAAACAAACATTCATGTATCTTTTTCAGCATTAATATAAAAACAAAATTTAATAAGTTAGTAAAATTATATTTTTTTTTGAAGCACATTAACGAAGATTATTGGAAAAATATTATAAAATTTATTTTACTAGATAAGGAGACTTTCTACATGCACGATATACAAACTTGTTGTACCCACAAACTGTTCATTAACAAGCGTGTAAATTTACGAGTGCACACAACGATTCGTGTTCATTCGTGGGTGCTGTGCGCGCGAGAGCCAAATGGGCCGATTACACGTGAGCTATTTGTAGTCCTGAAACACACGGTGTGCGCAACACACGGGTCGAAATTATTGATGGGCCAAAGTAATCCGAACTGACTCTCGAGCCAAAAGGAGATTTATACCTTGTAAATTATTAATTACAAGCAATAGATTATCATAAAGATAATTCCGGTCCGGAG